AAGAACTTGGACTAATATAGCCGGATTAGCTACCCCTATATATAAAAGGTAAAAATGATTAGACTGAAAAAGGTTACCGGTGGAAACCGGTTTTGGTGGCTTGAGTCATGGATGGGGAAGGAATGGGACCAGTGGACATCCAGGCCGCAGAGTTATACGCACGGATCTCATAGCCGTACCCCGGTTCAACCAACTTGTAGGTGGGGCACTCGTATTGGTCACACGTTCCCGGACGCATCCCATTAGATGGGTTCCACGGTGCGGGAGCCTGAGCACATGATACAACCACGACTAAGCTGAGGCAGAACGACCATTTCAAGATAGTTAAACCGGTTTCCATGATTGGAATAGTTTTTAAATGAATATTTCTGGTTTTTGTTTAGATACGATTTGCTATGTCTTTTGTAATGGAGTTTTTATAGATGCGTTTTTAAGGCAATGAGATGGTAAGAATAGAGTACAAGTTATAAATATCTTTGAATAGACAACGTTCGTACAAGTTTGACCTTTAATTGGGATTTAGATAGGCAAGACAATTATGATATGTGTTTGGGAGATTAAATGTGGAGTTTGTGATAAATGTTTGCCAAATTTAACCGAGATTAATTTGCCTACTAAAACAGTTCATTGACTATTGGATAATTATAAGAAAAAGGCACAATATATGAACTGACTGAGTAAATTTGTCAACCAAAAAGTGAATTAAGTGAGTAAAATTAAGGTTGAGTATATATATATTTTTATTTCATTAGTTGAGTATAATTTTTTTTGTATTTGAATTAAGGTTGAGTATATAATTTTTTGTTTCATTCATTGAGTATATAACTTTTTAACTTAGAGCTAGTCAATATGTGGTGACAAAAGGCTAATTTTTTTATTTGGTCAGTTACAAAAGGTTAATAAACATTTCGTTTTTTTCTCTCTATGGATTTTAATTTCACATGTTTTCAAGAGATCCAATTCAAAGAGACGCAATTTTATTTCACATGTTTTCATATTGCTATAGCTATTAATTAGAAATCTATTTTACATTTTTTTTCTTTCTTAATAAACTCTTTTATATTTCT